CCCTTGTAGCTGTTGGAATCTGTTAAGTAACGTCACAGTACACCTACCCCTTGTAGCTGTTGGAATCTGTTAAGTAACGTCACAGTACACCTACCCCTTGTAGCTGTTGGAATCTGTTAAGTAACGTCACAGTACACTTATCCACTTGTAGCTGTTGGAAACTGTTAAGTAACGTCACAGTACTCCTACCCTTGTAGCTGTTGGAATCTGTTAAGTAACGTCACAGTAAATATACCCTTGTAGCTGTTGGAATCTGTTAAGTAACGTCACAGTAAACATACCCTTGTAGCTGTTGGAATCTGTTAATTAACGTCACAGTAAAACTTATTTCTATACTTCTTGGAATTACTATTAAGTAACTTAATTTGGTATACGCTCTTGTCATTGTTAAGTAACAATACAATAAAAATTGATACAGTTACACCAACTGGAAACATTGTTAATAATTGTAGCTATTTAGCTATTATAAACACGTTTCAGTTAGATTAAAACATACATACTCTTGTAAGCCTAATAGAGTTAAGTTTCATTCAGCAAACCCTACCCCTGTAATTGGTTAAAAAATATTAAGTAAGATTAAGAGACACTAATCTAAATTATAAGTAGAAATGCTTTTAAATAATGTTGCCGTGTATCTACGTTCCGTACGTGTTGTTAAGTAATGCCGTTGTAAACTTTTACGTTTTAGAAACATTGTTAAACAACGCTACTATAAAAGTGTATGTTATGGAAACATTATTAAACAACGGTACTATAAAACTGTATGTTATGGAAACATTGTTAAATAACGCTACTATAAAACTGTATGTTATGGAAACATTGTTAAACAACGCTACTATAAAACTGTATGTTATATAAACATTGTTAAACAACGCTACTATAAAACTGTATGTTATGGAAACATTGTTAAACAACGCTACTATAAAACTGTATGTTATATAAACATTGTTAAACAACGTTACTACAAATCTGTATGTTATGGAAACATTATTAAACAACGTTACTATAAAACTGTATGTTATGGAAACATTGTTAAACAACGCTACTATAAAACTGTACGTTATGGAAACATTGTTAAATAACGCTATGTTTCCATAACATACAGTTTTATACTAGCGTTGTCTAACGATGTTTCCATAACATACAGTTTTATAGTAGCGTTGTTTAACAATGTTTCCATAACATACAGTTTTATAGTAGCGTTGTTTAACAATGTTTCCATAACATACAGTTTTATAGCAAGTGTATAACAATGTTACTTAACGCTATTGTCGGTGAGTACAAGTGTATAACAATGTTACTTAACGCCATTGTCGGTGAGTACAAGTGTATAACAATGTTACTTAAAACATTTCCACAACATACAGTTTTATAGTAGCGTTATTTAACAATGTTTCCATAACATACATAGTAGCGTTGTTTAACGAAACGCTATTGTCGGTGAGTAAAGTAACATTGTTATACACTTGTACTCACCGACAGTAGCGTTAAGTAACATTGTTATACACTTGTACTCACCGACAATAGCGTTAAGTAACATTGTTATACACTTGTACTCACCGACAATAGCGTTAAGTACCATTGCTGTACACTTGTACTCACCGACAATAGTGTTAAGTGACGTTTCTGTAAGCCTGTTCTTACTAACAATTGTGTTAAGTAATATTGCTACACATCTGTATATAGTAGGGTTAAGTAACGTTGTTATATACCTGTATTATTCACAGTAGGGTTAAGTAACGTTGTTATATACCTGTATTACTGACAGTAGGGTTAAGTAATATTGCTATACATCTGTATTATTGACAGTAGGGTTAAGTAACGTTGTTATATACCTGTACTATTTACAGTAGGTTTAAGTAACGTTGTTATATACCTGTATTACTGACAGTAGGGTTAAGTAATATTGCTATACATCTGTATTATTGACAGTAGGGTTAAGTAACATTGTTATATACCTGTACTATTTACAGTAGGGTTAAGTAATGTTGTTATATACCTGTACTATTTACAGTAGGGTTAAGTAACGTTGTTATATACCTGTATTACTGACAGTAGGGTTAAGTAACGTTGGTATATTTCTAGTATAAATTGTCAACTTTGGCACAAAATACTGATGAGACTAAAGTACCTTTAACAATTTCTTGTAATTATCTACTATGTAACTATTTAACTACAATATAACTTAGTTTTCCAACTACAAAATCTCGCCACTTATAACGAGATCGTACGAATACACACACACACACAAAATAAGTATTGCATAAAATTGCACGTACTCTACAAAATCCTCTTTCTTGAGTTCTGTGTCCATCAACGCCCTTAATAACAAGATAATGAATGAGCGCCCTCTCTTTTCTTTGCAAATAAAGTACCCACTAAAGACAGCTGTTCCCAAAGTCTTTACCTTAAAGCCCGCTCCTTCTAGACTTTAGACATCCTGGCTAATGACCCCACCTAGTGATATAATATGAAAGTTTAAATAATAGCCACTCTTGGGTGCCATCATTTCATTCCAATTTGAAAAAAGTATAATTACCCTTTTTTTAGTCACGTTTATTGCAATAAATAAATTTCTCACTGAAAATATTGTTATGTTCGTCGTGAGAAAAGGTTTAAATAATATATTTCTACATGTACTGAGGCCTCTTCCCCCGAGAAACTGTCTCGAGGACCCCAGTTTGGGAACCGCTACCCAAGTTGATGTTGCAAAGGACATCATATTTATCTTCAGCTGCTTCTTCATGTTAGATAAACCCCAAAGATACTGGTCATCATTTAGCAAGAGATGTTGCCTTTTCATATTATTTGTTCAGTATTTCAAGAACCTTTTAAAGGATCATCCATATTTGTAGTATAGAAATCAGTTAATAACTACTAATTCACCATTTTCAGATTTGTCTTGCTGTGAATCTAGTTTCTGATATAAACAGATCATCCTTTAGCTAAGCCTAATAGCTCGACGTTTCTGTTCAGTTGTGTACATTTTATCGAAATAATTATTCAAATAGCTATTCAAAAGTTCTGAAAGCACAGATTCATACTTGGGAAAATGAGATAGTTATTTTGTCCAGAAATTTTACTATTGTTACTTTGTTTTCGAGCTTTATACAAATGTGGATGTTTTCTCCTAAAATCTTAGGCCTTACTGAAAATATTGTTCCGTCAGCGAGGTCACGTGACTAGTATCACGCCACTCGTTCTCTCTAACCTTCGCGAATTGTCGGGAGATTACTAGATATAGTGTTAGTCTTGTATATATATGAGACGGTCACAACGTGACGGGACAACATTGTAATGAGTAATTGAATGTATGCGGACAAAATATTGTTGGCCACGTGAGATATCGCGTTAGTTATAGCGCGACTGTTGAAAATAAGTGTATCGTAAAGTTGTATTCGGAAAGAATAAACCAGTTTTATTTAAGAAAGGACTTGTGTCGCTAAAGTTTCGTCGGAACGAAGTTACGGAAAATTAATTAACGACTGAAGGCGTAACAATATGTTGACCGTTGTATATGGGGCAATACAGACACCAAATGGAAAAATCGGTATCAATAGTAAATAATTATCATAAAAAATACTACAAGACTATTCGAATGTTATGTACTTTCTTCTGAAATAAAGAATGCAACTCACGTGTATTTTTATTGTAATAATGTTTAAATAAAACTTGAAAAACGTTAAGTTCAAAGTGCTTACGTCTAAGAAACATACTTTTATCCAGTATAACTTTCCCTTAATAATATAAAAATATTATTGTGATTTTACTCTTTATGAAATGTCATCAGTTTTCTTGATGGAAGTGGAGTGGAGAAGAGGAGAGATCTGCACTGTCTATATGTGTCGTTTCAGAAGCTTCCTGGGTCACAGCTGTAACCTTAATCACTTGTTTATAAACAATAATAAAAGAGAGATTATCATTCGTTAAATCCTTCCGCTGTTTTAGTTGTTGCAAAATACAGAAATATTTGTTTCTTTCTTTTTTCAATTCCTTCGTGCCAGAAAACATTAACGGGTTAAAAAAATAGACGGGCAGTTTTTACTTTAAATAATAGAAAAACACACACAACAAAAACAGAGGTTTCCTGCACTGTTTCATATCAAAGAAAGAGTCGAGATACTTGAAACGTCAACCCAAATCATAAGAGAAAAAAATAGCCGGTTTCTGAGTAAAGGGCATACAGAACGGAGGATAGAGGGCGCTGGACTCTGTCTTCGTACTGTAAACACGTAGGGCTCTAGCACTTCCATGAGAATGTTTACAGTACCATTAGATATTTCACAGTATTAACCACAACCATAGCCAGTTACACATCGAATATGTTTACCCATCTTCCTTGTAACCAGTGTTCCCCACCCAGGGATAATGCTTCGGACAGTTCTGACACGTCTTCATATATCGTATGCCGTCCTTGTCCCACACATTACACACCGTGGGATTATGGCAAGGAGGGGGACGGTCATTTCGTTTACACTGCCAGGGTTCGAAACTGTTTAATTTAGACTTAGGCGTAGGGTTTCGCAACCATTGGATAAGCTGCCAGTTAGTGATTAGCCAGACGTCGCCTTTGCTGAGGATCTCGTCTAGGAACTTCATGAATCCCTTTCTGTGATGAGCGTTAGTAAACCAGGCCGAATGGTAGAATAAACCGAACGGAGCCCGGTTGGTGTTGTAGTGACGATAGAAGTTTTGGCTGAGAAATTTCACAATTCCTTCCTCGTCCTGAGAATTCGAACAAGCATCGGCCATGGAACAGCGACCACCCTTCAAGTCCACCCACATCACCATTCCCACCTCCCAGAGTCCAGGAAAGGACTTGTTCGGGCAAGGAGTAATCATACACTCGTGTTTGATAGCGTAGTCTAGAGTGTAGGGCCAGAATGGAGGGTTATTCTCGAACACAGGCATGGAAGAATCATAGGTGAAATTGGCGTCGTATAGCATCTCAAACATTTTGTTACCACCGATCTGTAGAAACGGTGCTCTCATTCCTCGGATGTCCTCAATCTTAACTCCTCCGTAAAGATGGAGGATCTCCCGTTGGCCCTGTACCTCTTTGAGCCACCTGTTTTTGGAAAACTTTTCCCCATAACTGTGACTATTTGAAAAGAAAAGAAAATAATTTATTAGAAAAGTATTTAATCTTTCACAAAAGATAATACTTATTACCAGTAAAGTATTCAATCTTTCACAAAAGATAATACTTATTACCAGTAAAGTGTTCAATCTTTCGCAAAATATAATACTTACTACCAGTAAAGTGTTCAATCTTTCACAAAAGATAATACTTATTGCCAGTAAAGTGTTCAATCTTTCACAAAAGATAATACTTATTACCAGTAAAGTGTTCAATCTTTCACAAAAGTTAATACTTATTGCCAGTAAAGTGTTCAATCTTTCACAAAAGATAATACTTATTGCCTGTAAAGTGTTCAATCTTTCACAAAAGATAATACTTATTACCAGTAAAGTGTTCAATCTTTCACAAAAAGATAATACTTATTACCAGTAAAGTGTTCAATCTTTCACAAAAAGATAATACTTATTACCAGTAAAGTGTTAAACATGTGTTACAGAGTACCAAGATGTTCTATAACATGTTTAATCGAGATGTTCTTTTAACACATGTTCAACCAAGATGTTCTATACCACAGATTTAACTAAGGTATTCTGTAACAGGTGTTTAAAGGAATGCATAAGTTAAACATGTGTCTATGAACACTTTGGATAACTATGTGTTACTTGGTTAACCTTCGTTAAAGAATATCTTGGTTATCTGAAAAAATAGACCCCAATTTCGTTACATTTTTCAGTGCTCAGGCTTCAGGGTAAAAGCTCCTGTAACAGTTTCAGTCTTACCAAGAAGACTTCTAGTACACTAAATGGGAAATCCAAGTTTTTATGGATTCTGTTCTGTTGGAAGTGTTACCCTGTTAAAGTTTTCTGTACAGATCTAATTTAACTAGCCAGATTTTTTCCCTGACTTCGAAATAATTATTATGATATTATCTAATATTAGGAGAAATAAGTAAATACTGGTAATAAGTATTATATTTTGTGAAAGATTGAACACTTTACTGGTAATAAGTATTATATTTTGTGAAAGATTGAACACTTTACTGGTAATAAGTATTATATTTTGTGAAAGATTGAACACTTTACTGGTAATAAGTATTATATTTTGTGAAAGATTGAGAGTACCTTAGTTAAACCCGTGTTAAGGAACATCTTGGTTGTAACACGTGTTTAACCAAGATGTTCCTTAACACGGGTTTAACTAAGGTACTCTGTAACACGTGTTTAACCAAGATGTTCCTTAACACGGGTTTAACTAAGGTACTCTGTAACACATGCTTAACCAAGATGTTCCTTAACACGGGTTTAACTAAGGTACTCTTTAACATATGTTTAACCAAGATGTTCCTTAACACGGATTTAACTGAGGTACTCTGTAACACATGCTTAACCAAGATGTTCCTTAACACGGGTTTAACTAAGGTACTCTGTAACACATGCTTAACCAAGATGTTCCTTAACACAGGTTTAACTAAGGTGTTCCTTTAACACAGTCTAGCCCCTAGTGGCATGGCAGTATGTCTGCGGACTTACAACGCTAAAATCCGGGTTTCGATACCCGTGTTTGGCAGAGCACAGGTAGCCCATTGTGTAGTTTTGTGCTTAACTACAAACACGTTTAACGAAAATATTCTGTAACACGCGTTTCACCGAGGTGCTCTGTAACCCTTTTCGTGATTTGCCCGAGTTAATTCGGGCTAACCATTTCTCGCCATATTTTTAATTATTTGATCGAATTTATTTGCATTATATCATGCATTATAATAGGCTATCCAGAAGCGAAATAAAACACTCGATTATTTTAGCTCATTTCCGAAAAACTACCTGTGTTATTTATTTGTTTCACAAGTTTTGCGCAAAGATACACATTGACTATCCGCGCATAGCCATCTTTAATTTTGAGATTATAGAATAGGTAGTTAGCTAATAAACACAGCCACCACGAAACCTAAGGCTACCCTTATCTGACCGAATAGTGGGTATCTACCATCACTCTTATAACGCACCCAAGACGCGAAAGTGCGGAGTACGTTCTTGCAGCAAAGGCAAATAATGAAAAAGGAAACACGCGCCTGCTTTGTTTTCAGATAAATCTTCCTTTGACAAGTAAAGTTTGATTAATACTTAGGATATAAACAACTAACGAAATAACGTTTTTTGAATTGCATTCCAATACATGAAAATAATAGAGAACGTTAGCACGTGGAGAAAAGTAGAAGCTAGTCAACGTTTTTGTTTGTTTGTTTGAAGTTAAGCACAAAGCTACACAATGGGCTATCCGTGCTCTGCCCACCACGGGTATCGAAACCCGGTTTCTAGCGTTGTAAGTCCGCAGACATACCACTGTGCCACTGGGGGGGGGGGTGGACTTTTTTATTATAAAGATTATTTGACATTGCTAGCTTTGTTTATGGATTTAGAATTAACACTGGGGGGCCTAGTTAACGTAAGTCTTAAAAATGTTGAATTTTCTTTTCAAACTTATTGATTGCTTAAAAAAAGGTTAAAAAGTTTTAATTATTGATTCCTTGTTCTACCGGGCCCCAATCTGAGGGTCGCGGGTTCGAATCCCCGTCCCATAAACATGCTCACCCTTTCAGCCGTAGGGGCGTTATAATGTGACAGTCAATTCCTCTATTTGTTGGTAAAAGAGTAGCCCAAGAATTGGCGGTGGGTGGTGATGACTAACTGCCTTCCCTCTAGTCTTACACTGCTAAATTAGGGACGGCTAGCGCAGATAGCCCTCGTGTAGCTTTGCGGGAAATTCAAAACAAACCAAACCTTGTTCTACCTGAGATTCCTTTTTCTGATGTACGCTTGATCTTTAAATATAGTTGATGACATTCGGGATCTTCTGCTCATCTGTCTTACAGGATAGTATTTGTCTCTGAATATTAAAAGGATTTTGGACTTTCATGCTTCGAAGTACTACCTTTACACACCCACCTCAGTGGTTGGTCTAATCACAGATCAAATTTCACATCTATTTATCTAGTCAAACAATGATTTGCTCTAACATTTTGCAGTAAAAATTTTAACTTAGATTTACTTACATAAAATGTTAAATTCAATATTACATTATGAAAAGACTGACCTCCAGTATGTAACTTTAGGGGAAAAAAAAGTAGTAACATACCTAATGGAGTGAGACGCCATCTCGTGGCCCTCAGAGTAAAGAGTTTGAACTTGTCCATAATCTGTCCACTCATGGGACACATAAAAAGTGCCCAATATGGGACAACCATTTGGGTTTTTTCGTCCAGTAAAAATTTCTTTGTATAAATCATAGTTTAAATCATTCACGGCATCATCAAAGGTAAGAAGAACCACTTGTGGAACCTCGCTGACCGGAAGGTTCTCTGGGATGTCTGTTCCCCCACAACGGCAGTCTGGAAAACGGCACGTGTTAGGGCTACATCTAGTTGCTGCCGCTAGAGGAGTTGGTGTAGGATACACAGACAGGGGCCTGGCAGGGAGGGTAGGAGAAGAATCTGCACGCTTGATTTGTGACTGAGTAGAAGCAACTGGAGTAATCATGGTGGGCGTGGTACCATTAGTAGTTGTAGAAATGGTTGTTGTTGTTGTTGCTGGCTTGGGTATTGAAGGTCTACTTGGTTTACGGGAACTCACCTTGGAGTGTGGAATTCCACTTGTTGGTTCGTAGTCATCAAAATACTCGTAGTTGTATTGGTAAGAATCACCAGAGTTCTTGTAGTTGAGAAGAGGAGAATTATTATCAACTAGAACACCCTCAGCTCGTGGAGGATTGGAATTTTGAGCGGGAGTAAACTTGTCTCTGGGTTGATTGTAAGTACGCTGATTAGGAGTGTCTGGTAGACTTAAAATGGTAGGATTAGTGCCAAACTGGGCGTCCAAACTGTCTGGACCAGATAAAGACTGTCTTGGTCCATTATAAGCAGGACGATGGTTCCTAGAGGGTTGGTCGTACAGTTCACGAAGCCTTTCGGGAGAAGCAGTGGGTATCGAGTTTGGCGGTTTGATGTCAGGATCTTTGGAATGACCATTGTTATTCAATAAGGAAGAAACCGTATCAGGGTCTTTAGAGTGCCCATTATTTTTTGATAGAGGCGATATTGTATCTGGATCTTTACTTTGCCCATTATTTCTAGACATTGGTCTGAGTACATCTACATCTCCGTGTTTACCATTGTTTCTGCTAAATGATGGTAAAGTTTTTCCATTGGCCAGAAAACCGGTTTCACTATTGTAAACTGCATGTTCGTCAGAGTCACGAGGGGCATTTCTGTTGTTGGTAAAGGTTGAAGGAACATCAGAGTCTGGATAGTTGTCGGGACTATTGCTGTAAGCCAACAGAGTGTCCGGATGTTCCTGCTTCCCATTGGTATCTGAGAATGTTTGAGAATCATCATAATTACCAAGAACAAGAGAAGGATTATTTTCTTCTATCCTAGAATATGGATTCGCATCTGGATCCTTGGGCTTACCATTATTTTGGGTACCATGTGCTACGGGTCCTCTAGGTAGCTCTTTGAACATCTGACTGTCCACATCTATGTTCCCATTGTTGTCAAAAAGAGGTTTAATAAACACATTAAGATCAGATACAACTTTCGATCGACCATTTCCAAAGTCTTCACCACGAGCTCTTCTTTCAGGTTTAATGTCAGAAGACATAACTTCTGTATTCTGGGATGGGTCTTGGGCCCCATGATACCCGGAATCGTAAGTATTTTGGGATGGATGGCTGATCTCATCCTGGCTTCCTGGGTATTTATTAGCATATTGATTTTGATTGTTGTTCTGTTGGGGTGGTTTCAGAGCAGGAACCTCATCAGGAGGATTTGAAGGAAGAGGAAATGTTGGAGGTGGTGTACTATTATTTGCAAGGGTGCCTGTTAGCAACCTTGTTATGCCTGGTCGCGGGGCAGGTTTCCCCCTTACTGGCTCCCCAGTACTGGATGCTGGTCGTTGATCACGAGAAGGTCCTTGGTTACGCCTGTTACTTAAGAAGACATCGCCACTCTGTCTAAAACTCTCACTGTCCTGTTCGTTTGTCGTAGATCCTAAACATAAGATTTAAAAAAAAATCCTTTATGAACTATTTATCTCAAGGACATATCTTAACATTAACTTAAAAGATGGAGTTACAAAATATTTGGTTATTTGAGTTTACATACAAACATTCGGGATAGCATTTCATTATCCTCACCCAACAATGATTTTAAATATTGACTGAGATCTTTGGAATGAATTATAAAGGTTGTATTTCATAATCTTTATCCAACAATTTTACTATAATGGACGAAGCGTGTATGTCAGTATCTATGTATTTAACCAAAATTCACACTTTGGGTATTCAAGATTCAGACAATTAGAAAAGCTGGAATATGAAACAGCCATTTCTTTATAACAGAACACAATTTTAAATAAAAGTACTCTCCTCACAAGAAGAACATGACTTTCACTAGGACTGTACATGAGGGTTTGATTACACGGGCCTGTGATGTTATATTGTCTTGAAATGTTTACATGTTTCACAGTAATTTCTGTAAGCTGAATCCGAAAATAATATTAATTTTTTTCCTCCATCCTGTACAGATTTTTCACAAAACGTCATATGTACTTTTATATAAGTGAATAATTCTCATTGAAAACGGATCACATTTTGTTATGTTTAAAATGTTGACAACCACTGGCTATAGATTTCTCTAGACCAATCGCGACGCGAGAGTCATATCGATCGTTCTAGAATCCACGAGAAACACACCGCTAGTATATAAATGGTTAAAAGGCTACATGACGTGTCATTTCTGGATAGTATTTGTTTGTGAGTGCACTTTGACATTATTTTTTTTCCTTTCAATATGATTTATTCGTTGCTATGGCAACAAGATGTTGTGTAAATGACCCAAACCTACTCTGTTATATTTGCGGTAAATTTGATCTAAGTAA